GCTCGGCTGGCATGCGTGCGGCCCGGGTTCGATCCCCAGCACCACATATAAACAAAGATGTTGTGTCCGCTGAAAACTAAAAAATAAATAAATATTTTAAAAATTCTCTCTCTCTCTCTCAAAAAAAAAAAAGAAAATCTGGTTATTTTAAATCTTCTAAAATTGCTGCTTAGTCAAGAACGATGATGTACATCTGTAATCCCAGCTGCTCTGAAGGCTGAAGTAGAAGGATCGCAAGTTGCAGACCAGTTTGGGCAATCTAGCAAGACCCTGATGCAAAAATTGAAAAGGGTTAGCAATGTAACTCAGTGGTAGTGTGCCTCTGGGTTCAATCCCCAGCACTGCAAAATTTAAATAATTTAAAAAAAAATTGGGGCTGGGGATGTAGCTCAGTGGTAAAGTGCTTGCCTCGCATGTGGGAGGAACTGGGTTAAATCCTCAGCACAACATAAAATTAAATAAATAAAGGTATTTTTAAAATGTGTTAAAATTTATAAACGGCTGGGGATGTGATTCAGTGGTAGAGCACCCCTGGGTTCACTTTCCAGTACTACAAAAGAAATTCAAAAGTCCATTAATAAGGATCTGATTGCTGGTTCCCATTTATCTTTCCTCTTCCCATTTTTTTTTTTTTGTACTGGGAATTTAACTCAGGGGCACTTGACCACTGACCCACATCCCAGCCCTTTTTTGTATTTTATTTAGAGACAGGGTCTCACTGAGTTGCTTAGCGCCTCGCTGTTGCTGAGGCTGGCTTTGAACTCTGATCCTCCTGCTGCTGGTTCTTTTTTCCTTTTTACCCAAATTTCCAAAAGTAAGGGTAGTATGGTGAATCACCATGTACATTATAACTCAATTTCAATAGTCATCAACATAAATAATGCCAGTCTGGGGTTAGGGATACAGCTCAGTGGTGGAGTGCTTGCCTAGCTTCCGAAGCCCTGGATTTGATCCCCAGTACTGGGGGAAGGGGGGAAGTCAGTCATCTATACTTTATGCTCCACCCCCTACTTTCTTTCTGCATTTCTAAAGGATCAGGTTAAAATGGTTCTAGACATCATATCCTTTCATCCATAAATATTCCAACACATGCTAGACAAGTGCTTTACCACCAATTGTACCCCCAACCACTAAAACCTACATTTTTTTACTTTTTGCATGCTGGGGATATAATGGCCTTGTGCATGCTAGGTAAGTAGGTGCTCTACCACTGAGATAAACCCAGTCCTGATAAGGACTTTTTAAAAAATATTATTTTGGGCTGGAGATGTGGCTCAAGCGGTAGCGCGCTCCCCTGGCATGCGTTCAGCCCGGGTTGGATCCTCAGCACCACATACAAACAAAGATGTTGTGTCCGCCGAAAACTAAAAAAAAAAAAAAAAAAGAATATTAAAAAACAACAAAAAAAAACACTTCTCTTTCTCTCTCTCTCTCTAAAAAAATATTATTTCAAAAAATAATTTAATTCCTTAATATCAAATATCCAATCACTTTTCAAAGTTACTCAATTGTTTTACAAATTATTTTACTTGGGCAGCAGGGGCAGGGGGAGACTAGAGATTGAACCCAGAGGAGACTTTTTTTTTTTTTAATACTTATTTTTTAGTTGTAGTTGGACACACAATATCTTTGTTTTATTTATTTTTATGTGGTGCTGAGGATTGAACCCAGGGCCTCGCATGTGCTAGGCGAGCGCTCTGCCGCTGAGCCACAACCCCAGCCACTCAGAGGAGACTATTTATTTTGTATTTTGAGACAGGGTCTCACTAAGTTGCTTAGGGCCTCTCTGAGGCCAGCTGAGGCTGGCCTTGAATTTGTAATCCTTCTGCCTCAGCCTCCCAAATTGCTGGAATTACAGGTATGTGACACCATGCCTGGCTACATTTTTTTTTTTAAGAGAGAAAGAGAGAGTTTTTTGATATTTATTTATTTAGTTTTCGGCGGACACAACATCTTTGTTGCGCTACCTCTTGAGCCACATCCCCAGCCCCAACAAATGAATTTTTACAAATAATTTTCTGTTTCTTTTTGTTTTTCTTTAGTACTAGACATTGAACCCTGGGGTGCTTCTCCAATCCATTTTTTTTTTTTTAGGACAGGGTCTTTCTAAATTGGTTTGGCTGGCTCTGAACTTGGGAATCAATCTCCTGAGTTGCTGAAACTGCAGGTGTGCACCACTGTGCCTACAAATTGTTTGTTTGTTTTGGATTTTTTTTTTTTTTTTTTTTGGCCCCACAAATTTCTCTTGAACTCCCAAGGTTTTTCTCCTACCCACAGTGTCTCTTGTTAAGGTCATTAATGCCCTCTCATTTTGCTAAATATATCAGTCTTCATCTTTCTTGATGTCAACAGCAGCTGAGTTTACTTCCTCTCTGAAACATTTTCTTCACTAGGCTTCTGGGATACTACTTTCTCCTGGTTGTTTTTATCAAGGGTTGCTCCCTCACTCATCTAAATATCAAAGTATCCCAGGGTTCAGTCTTCCCTTCTTAACCTACATTCATTTCCTAGGGAATGTGTTCATTTGTTGTTTTGTTTTTGAAAGGTTTTTTTTTTTTTTGTGCTAGGGATTGAACCCAGGGCCTTGTACAAGGCAAGCACTCTACCAACTGAGCTATATCCCCAGCCCTGTTGTTTTGTTTTTGAGAGTGTTCTCCTTATGTTGCCTACTTGGTCTCAAACTTCTGGATTTAAGTGGTCTTCCCACCTCAGCCTTCCTGCTGGAACTATAGACTTGCACCACTGAGCCTGGCTTCCCTAGATTTTTTAAATTTTAGTTTATGCTGTGCTAGGGATTCAACTCATAGCCTTGAACATGCTAGACAAGTGCTCTACCACTGCACTACATTCCCAGCCTTATTGTAAAATAGTAATACAGCTATACATGCTTTCTAAAATTTTATTATTATTAGCAGATTTTTTAATCTTTATTTTCAATTTTTATGGTCACTTAGTTGTATTTACATTATGTGGCTTGTGTGGTTTTTGTTCACTTTTTTTTTTTTTTTTGGTATTAGGGATTAAACCCAAGGAGGCTTAAACACTGTCCCACATCCCCAGCCCTTTTATTTTTTATTATTTTGAGATAGGCTCTCCCTAAGTTGCTCAGGGCCTCCCTAAGTTGTTGAGGTTGACTTTGAACTTGCTATCCTCCTGCCTCAGCCTCCCAAGCCACTGAGATTACAGGAATGAACTACCGTGTCTGGCAGGCTTTTGCTTTTTTTTTTTTTTTTTTTAATATTTATTTATTCTTTTTTAGTTTTCAGCAGACACAACATCTTTGTTTGTATGTGGTGCTGAGGATCCAACCCGGGCCGCATGCATGCCAGGCGAGCGCGCTACCGCTTGAGCCACATCCCCAGCCCTTGCTTTTATTCTTTACATAATTTTCATGTTTTTTAAAAAAGCATTTGGGGGTCTGGGGTACAGCTCAGTGGTAGAAAGGGTACTAAGCATGCACAAGGCTCTGGGTTCAATCCTCAGCACCTTCTACTCACTAATTTTGCATATGCTTTTTTTTTTTTTTTGGTACCAGGGATTAAATCCAGGGGCACTTAACTACTGAGCTGCAACCCTAGCCCCCCTCCCCTTTTTTCCTTTAGAGATATGAAAATTTTACTCGTATGTAAGTTGCAATGGTTACCTATAATTCTTGAACAAAGCATTTTTGAATATTATTTATTTTTGGTACTGGGGATTGAATGCAGGGACACTTTACCACTTAGTCCCCTTTTTATTTTTTATTTTGAGACAGGGTCTTCCTAAGTAGCCTATGCTGGCTTTTGGATGTGGAGATCTTACTACCTCAACCTGAGGAGTCGTTAGGATTATGGGCATGCTCCACTGCACCAGACTTCGAATATTCTTATTAACCCAAATCGTATTAGTTTGTCTCCCATTCTTTGGAAGATTAAATTATTGTTTGGTCAAACCTCTTCTAAACTCCTACCGTGTGTCAGGTTTACTAATGGGCTCAAGAACTGCAATGATTGGTAGCACAATACAATAGACACTAGTATCGCCCTATGTATAAACGTGGCTCTATAACCAAAGTGATCCTGCAATCTGTACACGTGGAAAAATAAGATTATGTACCCCATTTGAATCAAATGTATGATATGTCAAGATCATTGTAATGTTTTGAGCAACTAATAAAACAATTAAAAAAAAAAAAAAAAAAAAGAACTGCAATGATTTAGAAACCTTTCCTCCCCTTAGTTATATGGGGAAAACAGATATGTAAACAAATTCAATTCAGGGGTATAAGGGTTTATAGTAGATGGATGAAGTGCTATGGGGACCAGAGGTGGTAGCTAAAAGGTCCTTACAGCTCCCGCGCCACTTTTTTTTTTTTAACCACTGAGCCACATCTCCAAAACCTTTTCTAAATTTTGCGACAAGGTCTAGCCAAATTGCTGAAACTGGCTCAGCCTGGAGATCCGCCCCTCTTTAAAAATGACAACGCTGCTGGGCGTGGTAGCAAACACCAGTGATTTCAGTGACTCTAGAGACTGAGGCAGGAGAAGCGCAAATTCCGGAGGAGCCTGGGCAATTTAGTGAGCCTCTGTCCACCCCATACCCCAAAAAAGGTGGGCGGGGATAGGAGTGTAGCTCAGTAGTAGAACGCCCCCGGATTCAACTCCCAGTAAAATAAACAAACAAACAAGTAAATTAATAAATAAGACAGACATTGCTGCGCCTGCGCGGTGGTGTAGTCCCGTCCTTCCAGGTAGTCCGGTAGGTTGAGGGTAGGAGGATTCAAAGTTCAAGGCTAGCCTGGGCAATTTAGCAAGACCCTGTTTCAAAATAAAATTTTAAAAACACAAAAACGTAAAGGTGGGTGGTGGGTGGCTGGGAGTGTAATTCACTAGTGCGTGCCCAGTCCGATCCTCGGTACCGGAAAAAGAAAAAGGTGGGGGAGATGACGCTGGAACTGACATTCCTACCACTTCCAATGTTCCTCCACAGTTTCTCGGAGCTCGGCCAGAGGGGAAACCCACCTGAAAGCTAGCACGGCAGGGAAGGCATCGGGGAAGCGCTTCTGTTACCTGGGTAACCATCTCCACGCCACCACCCCAGGCGTCCCTTCACGTAGCATCGCCTACAACTCCCAGGACTCAACGCGGCGGATGGGGGCGGGACCAGTGCGTGGAGTCCAGGCGTGTGATTGGTGGTTACCAGAGGGCCAATCAGAGGAGCTGTTGCAAGGCAGTCCCTAGACCGGCCGGGAGGGAGGAAGGTGGCAAGATGGTGTTGGAGAGCACTATGGTTTGGTGAGGAACTACCTTGGGGCCCGTGGGGGCGTGACTGGGTCGGGGGTGCGCGCAGCGTCCAGGCCGGCTGGGCCCCGGGTGGGGCCGCGGGGCTTGTAGGTCAAGACGCGGCCTTGGGGTCTAGAGAGGAGGAGCCGGGTCGACTCCCTGAGTCATCCCAGGGCCCCAGAGCGGCAGGCCCGGGTATGCCCTCTAGCTCCGAGCCGGGGATCCTGGCTGTCTCGCTTTGTTTCAGCATCATCTGCTCCTTACCAGCCCAGAACTGTCTCAGGCTGCTTCTCCGACTTTGCCCTCCTTTCCTCAAAGTAATGGATATTAGGAAGAGAGAGGATGGTGGTAAAGATGTTGGTGATTATTGTTATTAGATGTCCCATTCGTTGGCCTGTGTCGTCTTTAAAGTTACACTTGCAGATTGTTTCCTACGTGGCAGGTATATTACTTCATTTCACTTAACCCTCCCAGCAACACTTCAGAGGAAATATTTCTCCATGTTACAGATGAGGCTCAGCGATTCTAAGTCACACAGCTAGTTAAGCGGTGGCGCCAAGATATCAGACTCAGGACTACATAAAGCTTTTTTTTTTTTTTTTTTTTTTTAATCCAGTGAGACTCTTCATCAGTCTCAGGCATGGACTGAAGCAGATTAGAAGCTGACAACAAACTTTTGCAGGGTTTCAAGTTCTTTTTTAGGGCTGGGGATATGGTTCAGTGGCAGAGGTCTTGCCTCGCTTGTGTGAGGTCCTGGGTTGGATCCCCAGCACCACAAAAGCAAGAATGTTCCTTCTAAATATGAACCTAGAATATAATAAAGAACAGTTACACAAATGTACACAGGTCTCCAGTTAGGAGGAACAGATACCTATGAGATTTCTCCTTTTCTCTGGTGGAAAATTGTGCTACAGCATACTCAGTTAAATTTGAATTTCAGAACCAGGCATGGTAGCACAAGCCTGTAATCCTAGCAACTCAGGAGGCCCAGGCAGGAGGATTCCAAGTTAAAAACCAGCTCAGCAATTTACCTAGACCCTGTCTCAAAATAAATTTTAAAAACTGGAGATGCAGCTCAGTGGTGGAGTATCCTTGGGTTCAATTTCCATTATTCCCCAAAATTGAATTTCAGACAAACAGTAAGTAATTTTTAGTATAAAAGATGTCTATTTGTATGGAGTGGTGGCACAAGACTGTAATCCCAGCAGCTCAGGAGGCTGAGGTAGGAGGATTGGGAATCAGCAGGCTCAGCAACTTAGTGAGGCTCTAAGCAACTTAGACCTTGTCTCAAAATATAAAATAAAAAGGACTGGGGATGTGATTCAGTGGTTAAACGTCCCTGGGTTCAATCCCTGCACTGCATCCACAGCCCTTTATTTTTTAATTTAATTATATATTTTTTTCAGTAAACACACTTGATTTATTTTGTATAAAAAGGTAAAGTTTACAACTATTATAAAAACTTAGCATGAATAAGTATATCATTACACTTTATGCAGAAATATACATCTCTGCCACTATACAAGAAAACTCTTTAATTAAAGGAGTTCACAAGGGGGGGCTCATGCGCGTGCGCGCGCTCGCTCTCTCTCTCTCTCTCTCTCTCTCTCTGTATATATACATATACACACAGCATTTAGTAGGCTTGAGTCAAAAAGGTAATTTCTGACCAAAAGATTTCATTTAAGTAAGTGAATACTGAATCCTTCTGGATTTTGAAAAAAGGCAAAGTCTGGAGGCTGCAGTTGTGGCCCAGTGGTAGACCACTTGCCTAGAATGTGTGAGGCACTGGGTTCACCACATAGAAATAAATGAATAAAATAAAGGTTCATCAACATTAAAAAAAACAAAGCAAAGTCTGCTTCGATTGGGCAATTCCTTGTAATTAGAATGTTTTCGCTCCCCATGGTGGGAATAGTATATAAAGAAAACCTTCCAACTGCAGAAAGGGCATTTAAAAGTCTTTTTCATAGATAACAAATATCACAGTCCAGGACAGAGAACACCGTGGGAAGATGGTCATTCTTAGTTTTCCTTCCATTTGTTTTTCTTTTTAAAAAGGTCTGTTCAATTTGTCCTGGTGAAATGGTTGAAAAATAAGTTCAGCGCCTTAAAAGATCCTGTGGATTTGTTGTTGGTGTTGTGCAAAAAGAAAGAAAGAAAGAAAAAAAGAAAAAGGAAAAAAAAAAGTCATGAACATTATTTATTCAGCCACAGAGTGCTTTGCTGTCATTTGACATTAACTCAGAAGGGAATTCAGAAGTCTGCAAGGATGGGATTCTGATGTCCATGTTTAGGGTGGTCAGCGGTGTCCTGGACACCTGGTTCTGTCCTGGTCTCTAGTGGCGCAGGCTAACAATACTGGGGTGTGAGTTCTGGGCGATCTGCAGGTCCAAGATGCAGTCTATGGTGTGCTGCAGGATTTCCATCTTGCTCACCTTCTTGTTTTGGGAGATGCTTGGCCCAGCTCCTTGAGCTTGGAGTAACAGTTGTTTGTGTTGTACAGCAGGCTCATCGGGTCATCCATCAGGGTCTGTTCCAGGAGATGCCCAGGCTGTGGTCTGACAGACTGTTTTTCCTAATGCACCTCACCAGACTGACTGAAGGCTTTTCATGCTGACCGCAGTGGAAGGAGAGACAGGAAGGGAGCAGGCTACCCTGGAGCTCAGGCTGCCGCCTGCCCAGCTGGCTGTGCTTGGCACCAGGATCTGCTCAGAATCTCATTTATTTTTGAGGTGGTGTTTCATTAAGTTTCTTATGGCCTCACTAAATTGCTGAGGAGGGACTCAAACTTGTAATCCTCCTGTCTCAGCCTCTTGGAGTGTTGTGATTACAGACATACACTGTACTTGTTTCTTTTTCTTTTTTAAAGGTAGATGGAATCAAGTAGAATACTGTGAACATCAAGCTGAGGAGATTTTTATTTATTAAAAAGACTTTTTAAGTACTGGGGATTGAACCCTCTGAGCCACATCTGCAGTCTACTTTTTTTTCTTTTTATTGGTGGGGGGCCTACTGGGGATTGAACTCAGGGGCAGTCAACCACTGTACCACAATCCAGCCCTACTTTCTATTTCATTTAGAGACAGGATCTCACTGAGTTGCTAAGCACCTTGCTTTTGCTGAGGCTGGCTTTGAACTCGCAATCCTTCTGCCTCAGCCTCCTGAACTGCTGGGATTATAGGCATGTGCCACTGTGCCTGCCTGGCTCCCATCCATTTTTAATTCTTATTTAGAGACAGGGTCTCACTAAGTTGCTTAGGGCTTCATTTAGCTGGGATCCTCCTACCTCAACCTCCCTAGTGCTAGGATTACAGGTATGCACCACTGTGCCTGGCTAAATTGAGGTGATTGAACTTTGTCTTGTACCCTTCCATTGAGGACTATTAAGAAAGTTCTGGGGCTTGAGTTGGGGCTCAGTGGTAGAGCACTTGCCTAGCACATGCAAGGCACTGGGTTTGATCCTCAGCACCACCTTTATTTAATTAATTATTTAAATTAATTAAATAAAGGTATTGGGTCCATCTACAACTAAAAAAAAAGAAAGAAAGAAAGAAAAAACAAAGGACTGGGGCTGGGGTTGTAGCTCAGTGGTAGAGCATTTGCCTAGCAGGGATGAGGCACTGGGTTCAATCCTCAGCACCACATAGAAATAAAAGTTAAATTCTTAAGAAAGAAAGAAGGAAAGTTCTAAGGGTCATGGGAGCAGACCTGTATACAAAATGGCATTTAAGAATATTGTTCTATGCCAGGTGTGGTGGCATGTGCCTGTAATCCCAGCAGTTTGGGAGGCAGAGGCATGAGGATGCAGATTTGAGACCAGCCTCAGCAACTTAGTGAGGCTGTAAGGACTTAGTGAGATCCTGCCTTAAAATATAATAAAAGTGTTCAGTGGTTAAGCAATCCTGTGTTCAATTCCTAATCCTTCCCACCCACCCCAATCCCCCTCAAAAAAAGAAAAGAAAGAAAGAATATTGTTTTGCCTGTAATCCCAGCAACTCTTGAAGCTAAGGCAGGAGGATCAAAAGTTTGAGACTAGCAGAGGAAACTTAGTAAAACCCTGTTTCAAAGTAAAAGGCCTAGGGATAGGCATGGTGGGCAGCACACACCTATAATCCCAGTAACTTGGGAGGCCAAGTCAGGAGAATGGCAGGAGACCAACCTGGCAACTAAGCAAAACCTTGTCTCAAAAAAAAAAAAAAAAAAAAGTGTTCCTTACATATCAAGTTTAAGATTGAGAAAACTAAACAATATGTTTCTTAGGAATGCATATATGGGTGGTAAGGCATCTGTTTTTGCCTCCAATAGCCTTCCCCCTACTGGTTCTGGCAAAGTATGAAAACTGCTGCGTTGTTCTCCAGAGTCAGTTCTCATGGTCTCTCCTGTCACCATTTTCTCCCCAGCCTTATCCACCTGCTGGTCTTGCCCACAATCCTTAATCTTAGTAGCTATTCCATCTGGACTATACTCAAGGCCTCCATTGTGTTTTATGTTTGGACTTGGCACTTTTATTGTAAGAGTTTGAGAGGCAGTTACTTCCCTGCTGGGAGAATAATCAGAAACAATTTATCAGGGGGAAAATATAAGGTATGGTCAGTAAAGTTAGACCTTGAGCTTCTTTACATAGTTTGTTTAGAGGTGTGTGGTTGAGTTCCTACTCTGGATTAGTTTTTGTTTTATGCTTCTAAGTATCAGGCACTTTGCTAAGTACTTTCTGTGTATTTAACCCATATAGCAATCCCACAGGATTGGGTACAATAAAATCCATTTTACAGGTGATGTAATAATCTCAGAGAAATTAAGTAACTTTCTTAGGATTATACAAT